TCTTAAAAACTGGTAACACATTAGCAACTTTCCAAAACTCTGGCACTCTGCCTGACTCTATTGATTTATTAAATATGGTTGACAGTGGGTCACAAAGCTCCACTTTGCATTCTTTAAGCACCCTAGCAAACACTTCATCCGGCCCTGGGGATTTGTTTGGTTTGAGTTTTACTATTTGTTTAAGAACATCCTCCCTGGTAACTGCTAAACTCGTCAACCTGTCCTCGTCCCCACCCACATAGACTTGTTCGGCTGAAGGCATATTGTTAAGTTCCTCTTTAGTAAATACAGATACAAAATATTTATTAAAAATACTACTCATCTCTTCATCACTATCTGTTATTTGACCTGTCTCAGTTTTTAATGGACCTATCCTTTCCCTAGTCTTAGTACGATATAACTGAAAAAACCCTTTAGGATTTGTCTTTGCTTGCCCTGCTATGCGAACTTCATAGTTTCTTTTTGCTTTCCTTATCTCTTTTTTAACAAATTAGAACCACACCAGGTGTCTTGTTACTAACGCTTCGATTAATAAATCCCAAATTAGGAGCTGCATCGTATGGCTCAATAGGCCTTCTGAAGTTACCTTTATTCTTATCTTCATAGTGTTAATGGAGTTCTTAGGCCTACAAGGGATTACAAGTCAGAACCGGGCCCTCTCAGAGAGGCACGAGAAGCAATGGCCTATAACAATGCACATGTGATTTGGAGCATTCTATGTCTGCCATCGACCGGGTCAGGAACCCAGAAAGGTAAGCATCCCAAAACAAACCGCAAAGAGAAACATGCAAACAAGCATGACGCCACCACGTTGCCGCGCTGCCGTCTGCGCAGTTCCCCTCTCCTTGGGAGGGGAAAGGGGGAGCCCTAGACCCCCTCACGTCAGCTACCCACACTTTCAGTTCAAAGGCTGGACGTCAAAACATGCAGGTAAAAACGCCGACCGGAGGGAGGGAGGGATGCTGGGAAGCCTCCGGGTTTCACCCAGAAAATGGCGTTTCATTACATTCAACGCTAGTTTTATGGGAGGAAATCCCCTCCGCCTCCCCGGAGCTACTTGCCCAAAGAGAAAACAGAGGATGCACCCGGGAGGCGTACGCCATGCGCAACGAAAAATCGAAAGCAAGACATCCAACGGCACCGAAGGATCCAGCAAATGACCCGGGAAACCCGAAGGGAAGAAGAAATGAGATGTTGATAGTTTGGTGACATGATGTGAGGCTCGCGGGACAGCATGACCTTACTTGAGCAACAGATTTCGTGAGAGAGGGGGTCGTGCTCTGTTGAGCTCCTGAATCTCATAATTGTGTGTTCCTTTAAGAGGAGGGAACCTGGGAGATTTGTGTGTGAAGCCTGTGGGAAGACTTAATGTACTCAAGTCAGGACCAGAAGAGCTGTGAGGCAGTCTTAAAGAGACCTGGTTGGATGTCTTAGAGGATGACATCTTTGAGCCACAGCTGATCGAGTGCCCTCCAGATACAAATTCTGCTGTAAGTTAATATAACATTTCTTGCAGTGGTTGCCAGCGTTTGATCGTGTGCCCAGCGATCATGGCAAATGTTTATACATGTAGGACATATTTTAGTGTGACAGGGAACTCAAATAAGGAGTAGAGATAGAACATGCTGACGAGAGGAGTGATACGTCCACCCTCGCTGAAGGTCAGTGGATGACCAAGTGAGGGAGGCCCCAGTCATCCGACGGGAAGTCTGCCTGCGACATGTCTGAACATCTAAGTGGACCCTGCCCAAGATGGGGGAGTACCATTGCAGTGACGCAGTAGTGTTCAAAGAGATACCAGATGGAGGAATTTTATTTTCTGTGAATGCATTTAATTGTGTTTTGTTAGGAAAACGTTTATTATGGCATGCTGATGGATTTGCAAGTTTGTGTGGGAGAACTGCAACGTTTGTATGGGAGAACTGCAACGTTTGCATGGGAGAACTGCAACGTTTGCATGGGAGAACTGCAACGTTTGCATGGGAGAACTGCAACGTTCGTGTGGTGGAAATTAATGAAAGAACTTCGTGCCAGAAGAGTCCAAGCTATACTGTATGGTGAAGTAGGATTTCCAGTGAGAAGTGGAACTTCGTGGACCTAGTGAATCATCGAGTTGTGTAGGGAGCTCCACGTCGTTTGTGCGAAGCGTTTGGAGAGAGCTTCACTGACATTCTATGGAGGACTTCAGTGCAGCTGATTGGAGGTGCTGCAGGAGTGCCTTACATATTTTGAGGACCCAGATGATTGTAGTAGGGGACCTCGAGTAATGGAATAGATGGTCATAAGGCCCTCGATATCTAAGTAAGTAATTATCAAAAGAAGGCACAAAACCGGAAAGGCTATGTAGCACCATCAAATGTGCGGAATAATCAGAGGGCGCTAAATATCACCAAGGATGCCAATACGAGAACAAAAACGCATAGACGAATGATATCAAAAGTATCCGAGTCACCAAGAATTCTATTGAGGGACAGGTGACCGCAAGGGGTGGTCGGAAAGCAAGACACACGCTCATCCTGGAAGGAAGGACATGCACGACCGTAAGAGAGACAATGCAATTAGGACAATAAGGAGCAGTACGGCACTCCATCAAGTGACCATGGGTTAAGCGAGTATGGCCAATATGCAACCTCGCCAGAGCAGTTTCCCAACGCCGGTTACGGTGATAGGACGACGGCCACGAGTTAACACAACATTTAAGAGTACGTAGTTTGTTACCAGTAACAGACGACCAAGAAGCCTGCCAATGGGTAAGGATGGAGGAATGGATAACTTGGTAAAAGTCGGAATATGGAATACCTTTACGAGAGATGGGACAAGAGCGGACAGCTTCCTTGGCGGCAGGATCCGCACGCTCATTTAAAGACACCAATATGGCTGGAAACCCAACAAAACTCAACCGACTTAAATTTACTGTGAACAAGAAACCGCCAATGCTGGATCTCGACAACTACTGGATGAACCAGATTAAAGGACCCGAGAGTCATGAGGGAACTACGAGAGTCAACAACAACTACAAAGGAAGACTGACAACGAGAAAGCAGGAGATGAAGAGCAAAGAGAATAGCATAAAGCTCCGCTGTGAAGATGCTAGTCTCCGGAGGTAAGCGACACATATAAGTGCGATCAGGAAAGACAACAGAGTAGCCAACACCGTCCGCAAACTTACACCCATCGGTGTAAGTGTAAGCGCCGAAGCTGCCTGCACCCTAAGTTCAATATCAGTGGACTGGGTGATCTTGAGAACAAGCAAACACCACCACTCACAGGACTCTGGGTCGAAGGTGTCACCGACCCAACATGCAGCATGATGGAGGCAAAACAAGTGACTCGCCCTGAAACAAGAGAGCAACCTTCCAAACTCGCACGAAGCGAGATGGGACCCAGGGGATGCGTCCATCGGACATTGAGCCCCCAGTTGGGTTTTCTAGGGCAATTAGATGCTCTGCTAATGGAAGCCTAGGCAAGGTACTGCTAACTGGCGCTCCAAACTACCAAGCAAATAAATAAGAGCCGAATCTCTGGAATGTGAACACACACACACGGGGTCCTAGTGGAGGACCCCCCAAGAAGACAATACATATAAGCTACAACAACACCTAGGGCAGATCCTCCACCAGGGAGAAAACAAAAACAAAAGAAAAACCCTGTGTAAGTAAAATGTACCCAGGCGGAACAGAGCCGGCTACCATATCAGGCGAAAAACAGCTGCACAGTACCTAGCACCCCTACCAGTGACGAAACTACTTCCTACCCAGATGCAAACTGGGTAGGAAGACTCCAAAGGCGGGAAATTACCGAGCAGTAAAAGACTTCAACGGAGGTAGCCCCCCCCCCCTGCAACTTGTGGAAGATAACCCAAAGCCACAAGGGCAGTACTCACAGGGCACCTAGGGAAGGTAACCCAAGGTGCATGCAGCCCGAGTACAGGTGAAAATACTCCTGGATCGCGCACCACCAGTAAGACAGGACCACACCACAAGGCACAGCACTGAATCAAATCCGAAGCCACAGCCACGCGACCACCAGGTCTCACATCAGCCACAGAACTAGGGGTGTGGATAGCCGGCAAGGGAGTCTGGGGTTCCCCCTACTCCTTTCTGGGGAGGGTGAAGCCGTGCAGACGGCAGCGTGGTGACGATTGCCACTCGTGCTCTTTTTTCCTTTGGGGAGTTCTGTCCAACAGTTCGGCTTCTGTAGCAATTTTATGAAACCAGATACGGTTCGTTTTAGGGCGCCTACCTTCTGGGTGCCTGACCCGGTCGATGGCAGACAAAATGCTTCCAACAACACGGGGGGTTATTATAAGCCATTGCTCCTCGTGCCTCTCCGAGGGGGCCAGGTTCCGGCTCGTGATTCCCAGTAGGCCTAGAACTCCATTTTCTTTGATGCCAGGATCTAATACATACATATCAGCCAGGATAGTTCCGGGGAGCCGAAGAGGCTCCCCCCAGAAAACTAATCAGAAACAATATATAAAAAAACATTCACAGCAACTCCCACTTGACGACTGGCTCGGGGCGACCACCCTGGTGCAATTGCTCAATGAGCGCACATCAATCGTTATGCCATCGCGAGATTTTCACGTTTTATCATGGCCAAAGTAAGTCACATACAAAAAAAATAAAAATAGATTTTTGTTATTATTCGCAGCAGGGTGTTGCATGCTAAAATCACTTGAGCAACACAAGGGTTAATGATCTTGGTTTAAAGACAGGTTGAAGAGTTGGCGTTGTCCACAAAAACAAAAGCCAAATCCCAGTGAGATATGGGAGCCCTGTTGCACAGAACTGGACACCCTGTCTCTCTGAAGACAATTCTTGCATTATGTTATATTCGTGCAGCAAATAGAATATTAAAATACATATTAAAAATAGTAGGGCAACTTAATAATGTATGTGTATTTAATTGACATAAAGCAAAGCATTTTACACAACATGAAAATTCACTGACTTGTATAAAAAGACTCAAGAGAAAGGTAATGCATAAATTTTACTAACGGGAGACTGGAAAGTTGCCAAAGCCAAGTTTCTGGAAAATAAACACGAGGCGTTATTGGCTTAGCTTCGGATGTTATTTCCACCATTTCATCAACGTCATGTACGCTGTCTAGGTCTCGTTCAATTGATGCATAAGAATATGCAACTCCTGGAATTGGGTCACCAAACATGAAAGACGGGAATCCAGAGCGCCCCGATTCTTCCATGGCTGGAAATAGGAACAAACCCATTATTTGTATCAGTGCCGGTGAAAATGATGTTGGGCGAGTTGAGTTCGGAGTGAGGAACTGTTACAGAGGTTTAAGACCGCCATAGAATTAGTTTAGAGCAAGGGGGGAATCCCGATCAAATGTGGCATTCTTCCAAGAAAGGGAGTTGGAAATGAATGGTTGTCGAGGACACTTGGTGTCAATTGTCGACTGGACAAATATTGCAATTCAAATGCAATATCATTTATAGATAACTGGGAACACTTCTATGGAAGAAATGACATGTATGCTCGGGATGGGGTGCATCTATTCAAGGCTGGGATGGTTGCTGTTGCCAACTCGTTGGAACCTGTGGTAGGAGGGGTTTGTTTTTGTTTAAACTGTTAGTAGATAGTGGTATGGGAATTGATATTGAGCTTCAAAATAAAAGATTTAAATTCTCTTGTAAGCACAGAAAATAATATATATTATTGCACTTACCGAAACGTGGATGAATGTAGAAAATAGACAGCTATTAGCTGAATATCAAATAAATTAATTTAAACGATTTCACACATATATATTAGACGAGGAGAGGGAGTAGCCATATATTTTAGGGAAAATTTGAAATGTAATCTCAAAGAGGGAATCAAAACTGAGCCACACAAACTATTTGGCTAGAATTAAGCGAAAAAACAAATAATCTAATAATAGAAGTTATAAACAAGCCACCAAATTTAGATAGAATGGAAGCAAAGCACCTATGGGATGAAACATCTAGAGCATCTAGGTCTAACAGTATTTGTTATGGGTGACTTTAATTTTAGTGGAATAAACTGGATTGACAGCAGGGAATAACGAAGCAAAAGATTTCCGAGAATTATTTGACTATGGCTTTCTTACGCAACACATTAAGGAACCAACGCGGAAAAATAATATTTTAGATATAGTGTTAAACATGCAAACAAATTAATGACATCGAAATAGGGAGTGAACTAGGGAACAAAGAAATTGATCGCAAAGAAATCAGATTTACCGTGGAATGGAATAGATCTGTAGTTGAAGCATATTCTGTATTAAATATTTTCTGGTTTAGGGCTCCGATTTACACATGAAAATAGTGAAGATAACAATCTGCCATTCTTGGATGTACTAATAACAAAAACAGGAACCTCTCTCTACTAGAACCTATATACTAAACCTACAACATAGAATTATGCCTGAACGGTAAGAGTGAGTGCCCCCAAAGATACAAAGCCAGTGTTCTCAATGCTTATATTCGTCGAACGCTTACACACTGCTCCGAATGGAGCAACGTGAGTTTAGAGTTTGAAAGAATAACTCAGGAATTGGTGAACAATGGATATAGCAACCCGGAAATAAACTTTGCAATAAGAAGACACCTGACCGATGGTACAATCCTGAACCTAGAACAGAAACCACAACACCTCCAATAAAATATTATAAATCAACTATGCATAGTGAACAAAGATTATCCTGGTAATCAAGAAACCAGGATAATAAAAAAACTAACAACATTATATAGAGGACCTATAGCGATTCCACGACCAAGAGACGGCTTCCTGAACCTTGCTGGAATCAACCTCACTGAGGATCAAGTCACTCTCTTAAATCTGGGTATAAACTGTCACGTTATGTCCAGACCAAGTGAGATGGCCCAGAAAGTGGAGTTGGAGATCCTGTTGGACGAAATATTCGACCTCGAAGCACAAAAGGTCACCACCGAAGATACCTTACAAGCAGAACTTATTGCGGAAGGAGGAAAGAATCGAGGTAACTACAGAAGCACCATACTGTCCCCCGAGCTCAAAGAGACAGCTAAGAGCCTACGTGAGAACGAGGAGATAGTCATCAGGAGAGGTGACAAGTCGCCAATATACGTCATTCTTAAAGACTAATATCTGGCGAAAATGAACCTCATACTCTCGGACCAAACTAAATTCCAAAGGGTAACAAAGGACACTACAGCCGAATTGAAAGAAAAGGTTAACAGATTGCTTGAAACTGTGAACGCCAAGAGATCCGGACTCCACCTGCCAAAGATTATTGGGGAATACAAACCTGGGTATGCGTACGGAAATGTCAAAAGACACACAAGCCTGCAAACCCACTTTGGCCAATCATCAGCCAGATACCCACACCCACGTACAGACTGGCGAAGCCACTCAACGGCTTGCTGACGGCTTGCTGACTCCTTATGTCCCTTGCGCCATCAGCCTGAAGTCTCCAAAGGAATTTGTTGACTTACTGCGGGGAACACAGGCCGCAGGAATAAGAACCTCGTTGGACGTAGAATCAGTGTTTACCAACGCACCTGTGGATGAAACAATCGGGATGATAGCGGATAGAGTGTATCGTGATCCGGCCTGTACTCCTCTTGACATGCCAGAAAACATTCTGAGGAAACTACTCCAAGCTTGTACTAAAGAGGCACCCTTCTTGAGCCCGGATGGGCACATGTATAAGCAAGAAGATGGGGTCGCCATGGGTTCTTCCCTAGGTGTCCTGTTTGCGAACTTCTACATGGGTACCATCGAACAAAAGGTCTTAGTCGACATGAACTTGAAACCGGCCATATACTGCAGGTATGTTGACATTTTTACACAGGTACCTGATGTCAGACATCTGCAGGAGCTGAAGGAGGCATTTGAGCAGAATTCTGTGTTGCATTTCACTTACGAGATGGAGAAGGATGGGAAGCTGCCCTTTCTAGATGTAGCAGTCATGGAAAGGAGCGGAGGTTTCCACACTGCAAACATACATAGGAATGTATCTAAATGCCAACAGTGACTGCCCAGACAGGCACAAGAGGAGTGTTGTCAATGCTTATGTCGACCGTGCTCTCAGCCACAGCTCAGGATGGAAGCAAGTCGACGAAGAACTCTGTAGGGTAAGGCAGGTCCTAGTCAACAACGGCTAGTTTCCAACTTACAACGTTATATGGAGGACCTATGGCAATTCCACGACCAAAAGATGGCTTCCTGAACCTTGCAGGAATTAACCTCACTGAGGACCAAGTCACTCTCCTAAATCTGGGCATAAACTGTCACGTTATGTCCAGACCGAGTGAGATGGCCCGGAAAGTGGAGTTGGAAATTCTGTTGGACGACATATTCGACCTCGAGACACAGAAGGAGGTCACTACCAAAGATACCTTACAAGCAGAACTTATTGCGGAAGGAGGAAAGAATCGAGGCAATTACAGAAGCACCATACTGTCCTCCGAGCTCAAAGCGGCAGCCAAAAGCCTTCGTGAGAACAAGGAGATAGTTGTCAGAAGAGGTGACAAGTCGCCAATATACGTCATTCTTAAAAAAGACGAATATCTGGCGAAAATGAACCTCATACTCTCTGACCAAACAAAATTCCAAAGGGTAACGAAGGACACTACAGCAGTTTGAAAGCAAAGGTCAACAGACTAATCGAAACTGAGAACGCCAAGAAATCCGGACTCCACCTGCCAAAGATCATTGGGGAATATAAACCTGGATATGCGTATGGAAATGTCAAGACGCACAAGCCTGGAAACCCACTTCGGCCAATCATTAGCCAGATACCCACACCCACGTACAGACTGGCGAAGCGACTCAACGGCCTGCTGACTCCTTATGTTCCTTGCGCCTTCAGCCTGAAGTCTCCAAAGGAATTTGTGGACTTACTGCGGGGCACACGGGCCACAGGAATAAGAGCCTCATTGGACGTAGAATCGCTGTTCACCAACGTACCAGTGGACGAGACAATCGGGATGATAACCGACAGTGTATCGTGATCCAGCCTGTACTCCTCTTGACATACCAGAAAATATCCTAAGGAAACTACTCCAAGCTTGTACTAAAGAGGCACCCTTCTTGAGCCCGGATGGGAACATGTATAAGCAAGTAGATGGGGTCGCCATGGGTTCTCCCCTAGGTGTCCTGTTTGCAAACTTCTACATGGGTACCATCGAGCAAAAAGTCTTAGTCGACATGAACATGAAACCGGCCATATACTGCAGGTATGTTGACGACATTTTTACACAGGTACCTGATGTCAGACATCTGCAGGAGCTGAAGGAGGCATTTGAGCAGAGTTCCGTGCTGCGTTTCACTTACGAGACGGAAAAGGATGGGAAGCTGCCTTTTCTAGATGTAACAGTCATGGAAAAGGGCGGAGGTTTCCACACTGCAGTCTACACTAAGGAAACGAACATAGGAATGTGCCTAAATGCCAAAAACGACTGCCCTGACAGGTACAAGAGGAGTGTTGTTAACGCATACGTCGACCGTGCTCTCAGCCACAGCTCAGAATGGAAGCAAGTCGACGAAGAACTCTGTAGGGTAAGGCAGGTTCTAGTCAATAACGGCTTCTCCAATGGTTTCATCGAAGACGTCATAAGAAGGAAAGTGAAAAGCCATGCAACCTCTGAAGAGACAACCAACACCTATACCCCCTATTAGACTATTTTACAGGAATTTCTTTTCCACAGCTCATAAAACGGAGGAAAGGGTCCTGAAGGATATTGTTAATAGGAACGTTATCCCTACAGACAAAAATCAGAGGATACAACTGACGATTTACTATAAAACCAGAAAAACGGCCAGCCTACTCATGAGAAACTCTCCAGACACAAAACAGAACGCTTTAAAAGAGACTAACGTCGTCTATGCCTTCAAATGCCCACTTGGGGACTGTAAGCTCCAAAAAACCCAGTATATAAGCAAGACAACAACATCTCTTTCTAAGCGTTTAACGATGCATAAGCAACGGGGCTCCATTAAGGAACATATAATCTCTTCCCATAACCAAACCATCGCCAGAGAAATCCTAGTAAACAACACAGAAATCATCGATAGATACAGCGATAGCAGGCGGCTTGACGTTTGCGAGGCACTACACATCAAGAAGTCAACACCAGCAATCAACAGCCAATTATTGCACAACTATATTCTACCCACCTCAAGACTCCGCTCCAATATAGAAGCATCAAGAAATATGGACCAATAGGCTTTCTACAAACACT